TTTCTGTTTACTCTTTTTTTTTTTTTTGTTCAATTACTTTGATGCTATGATATAAAGGTCACTGTTTGCCTCTAGTCATCACATAGCTTTTTCACTAATTGTGAGCTCACGTCATTTTGTTCTGTGGGATCTTTTGCTTTTTGATCCAATTTCAGTTGCCCAGATGTTCATTTTATACAGTTAAGTCTATACAAAGGGCATGCTTTGTTTCAACAAACACATTGTGGTCATTGTTCTCAGCTGGGAACCCATTGCACAGCAATTCACCTGTTTCCTATGTAATCCACTATCCATCTCCCAACCTTTATGCTGACTTAATGTACAATCATTCACTGGGGAGGGGAGGGCTAAGAAGAGGAAATTTGTGCAAAAATGTTTCCTGGTCCTTAGCCTTGGACTAATTAAGGTCACGCTGCAGGATGAAAAGGCAATAAGAAATCAGAAAACTCCTTTGTCTTTACTTCATTGGTGTGTAGTGGAATGGAAAATCATGGTAGTACCTTGAAGGATTTCTTTTCAGAATGCATTAATGGACAACTAGGCACTTTCCAGAAGGAATCCTGCTGCTGCTACTCTCCCTTCTCCATGGTCACCTGCAGAGGCTTCATGTCAAGGCACAGGTGTGTGTTTGCCAGATCCCATCAGGAAGCTGCCACACAGTGGGAGGCACTGCTTCACAGAGCACCCAGGGGCCTGAAGATTCCCAGTTCAATAGCTCACAAGAGGGACAGATCTCTCACTGCAAGTGTCCCTTCCAGGACAGGCCTTTTGGTCATTGCAAAGCCATGAGGACGTCGCACAGACTAACTGTTCATTTAACTTAACCTTCAGAGTAGTCATGAGAGCTTAGTTCATGGACAGAATGAATTCCATGGAAGACTTTGAAAGAGGATTGTATGTTACAAATGCACTGGCTGTTGCTAAAGACCTGTGGAGGATAAGCAGTGGAAAACTGGACAGGGATGGAGCAGTATATCATATAAGAAAGGTGTCACTTGGCAGTACAGGTCTGTGAAGGTGTTTAAGTTTCTAAAAACACCTTTCCAATGACAGGAATGTAGCTGTCTTCAGCCTAAAGATTCCTAGAAAGATGACCGAACAAAATTGTCCAGGCTACTGGCAAGGACAGCATTATTGGCAACATGCACGGGGTGTTAATGGCCAAGGCTGAGGCAGAAGATGAGCTGTGCTCCACAGCCCACAGCAGGCAAGAGGAGGCAGCCTGAAGAGGAGCTGGCATCGAGCAGAGATTTTTAACATTGCTTTCATTCAGCCAGCTGTAAGGCTGCTGGGCAAGATCTGCTCAAGGTTGAATGTTGCTTTAACTTGCTCACGTGATTTGCTGTGCCTCCCTCTGCATTGAGTTTCCTAGGCAGACCTTTGGGAAGGGGACTGCAGATACCAGCGCCCACTGTGCCAGCCTAGTTTGGCAAAGAGGAAAAAAGGAGGTGAGAGGGAGAAAACCGGACGTCTTGTCTGGTTCCCCCTACTGATGGTGGCATTGCCTTGAGTGGATAAAGGTAGAGTTTTCAAATGTACAGTGTTTCCTGTGACTCGGTCTGCTGAAATCAGCAGAAACCAGCACTTCTCTGTGTTGCAACTGCAGAATAATTCTCTATTTCTCTCTCCCTTCAGTCTATAGATCCCTCGGCACAGCTGTAAATTCCCTGTACAGTGCACAGCACAATTTTCACTGAAAACAGCTGATAAAACATTTCTGGAGAGAAACCTCATTTCATTAAAAACATTTTTTTGCCTCTTCTATGCATCTCTCTATTTTTCCCTGGTGGCCACCTGTGCTTGCCGTCAGTCCCATGGAATGCCCATAAAGATCACTTCCAGGCTATATAGGTTGGTGGAAATGAAGCCAAGTGACCAAACCTCTTTATCTTTCCCACTGGCACTCTCCAGCAGCGACCTGGGAGGGCTCTCCAGTGCAGGATTTATATCTCAGTCTGTTTCAGTGACTGACAGCAGCAGCAAGGAACTCTCTGGGGCAAAGGACAGGGAGAGGAGAGCGTGGGGAATGGTTCTTCCTGGGACAAGCTCCAGTCTGCTCCAGGGAATGTGCTAGTTTTCACTCCTTTATAGTCCTTTATCTCAGCCCTCTGACCTTGAGCTCAGGGGCATTATCAGCCTTAGCCAAAAAGGCAGTGTGGAATTAACTGTTGAAATGCTGAATGTTTCTCATACTAAGCCCTAAAAATAAAAAACGTAACAAATGCAACTTACCTGAGTAGTCCAGGGTGTCAGTGGACCTTTCAGATTTGGTGAGCACTGATGTAGAATATTAGGAGAAATGTTCTGTACTGAGTAGGTGATTTTGTGAAGCGTGGCAGTTCTCAAACTTTGTATGCTTCTACCATGCAGAGGCCTCCTGTAAGAACATCTCTTGTATCTACAGAACATCTTGTGTATATACAGGGTGTATGAACTTGGTTTTCTTTGTCACGTTTCATCCTTACGTGGGCAGGACTGTTACTGATTTCCAGAGCACAGGCAGAAAGCCATTGATCTCATGCTTTCAGCACGCTCTGTGCTATCGTGATAACACCCAAATATTTGACTTCACAAAGTATTAAACTCATAGCAAAAACAAATAATAATAATCCTGAAGTGATTTAGGTTGATGTGTTGGCAGTCCTACTGCTGATTTCTCTGGGTGACTTTGGGCATGTCATTTAATTCATGTGTCACTTTTCCTGTTTGCTGATTGAGCTAAGGATTCTCAGTGGGCCATCACAGCTATTAATGAGTTATAAATGTGCTTGTGTATATGTGTGTCTGGTTTTGCAGGAGTGGCTTCTCTATCTTTGGTGTTTGATGAATGACATTATGCAGAGAAAAAGGGTTTTTTTTCTTACTGGGAGTGAATGAGCAGCAGTAAGTGGGTAGAAGCAGACTTTTTTTCTTGCAGAACATTCCCATCTAATCACTTTGGTGTTCACTGAGTTAATTTGCTCATGCCTTCAGATTGTTTTGTTTCCAGGGATTTTAAACCCTTGCCTCCAGCTGTTCATTTCCATTGAAGGAGGAGGATCTTTATCTGTCTGAACTAGTTAAAACCTGCTCCACTACCCGGCAGCGTTTTTGGAGACAGCCCAATAGAGTGCAGCAGCTCTGACACCAGCAGCCTCCTGGACATTGTAAATACCAAGCCCTATTTTTTTTTTTCCTGACCTCTTGCTGTTGGAGCACTCCTCCTACTTTAATGGGACTTCCTCCACAGCTCCACTGATCCACTGTCCAAAATAGGCAACGGTATTTGCATTCTATGTGGAAGCAGAGAATCCATTTTAGACTGATTTACCACTCCAATATTATCAGATTAAGCCTTGACATAACCTCAAAGGTGCCATTCAAACAGCTGAGGCACTCTTAGACTTAGGCTCCTCTCAGTGTGAGTGTTCTTGGGATATTTTGAAGCATGTTTTAAAAATGTGCTCTGTTTAAAGTTTGCTGCACTGTGGTGGGACTTGCAATACCTTCAGGGCCGCTTCATCTTCGGACAGAAGATGGGAAAGTTTTTGTCTTGAGCAGATCAGTTGTAGGTTTGTTAACTGGATGAGACAGCCATCGGATGTACAAAAGGCATTTGATTTTCATCACAGAAAAGATTCTTCAGTACATCAGGCAAAGATGCTGTCTGTACAAGAGGGAATGGCAAACAGAAATTTCTGTTGTCAGTAATGTCAACCCAGGGACCATGACTAGAATGGGTATTACTGTAGAAATGCCTTTTTTTTTATTGTACTGGTTTCTAATAGCGCATTATTTTGGCCTGTGCTGAACAGAGCCATGAAATAGGATGGTTAATATGCTAATGCTCAGTTTGTACTTCAGGTTCCACCTTCTACTACAACTGCTATTGACAGCAGTGGGAAGATTTGTGGCCAGGAGATCTCTCACGAAGAGCAGGGCTGAGAATGAGCCAGGGAGACACTGTCCTGTTTTGCTGCAGATGTTACAGTCCTTCTGTCCTGGGAGTCAGTGAGGCATGAGGAGTGTTGGGAAGTGGCTCCCCTACTCCCAGCAGCACACAGCTGGATCAGTTTGAGCTGAAACCTGTGTGACTGTGGGAAGGCTGTGAAGCTGCTTTTCTGCTCAACCACCTCATAGCAATTATCACACTATCAGAGGACGGAAAAGGTCTGAGAAAAGGACCAGTTGAACATGTCATCATTGGTATTCAGCAGCTGCATGTTTTGCTATTGTTACAAATAACCTTTTTAACTTTGCAAGCAATGTTTTCTTGGCATCATTCATACGTAATTACTGAGAGGTCAAATTCAGCTGTCAGTTGTATAAATATGGAATAATTCTGTTGGCTTCCTGATGTTATTTTGCATTTGGATCATAGTCCCTGTCCCTAGGAGCTTGCAATCAGAAATACCTAGGGAGAGCTCTCTGTCACAGATGAGTTAGTATGCAAAGCAGTTTTAAAAAAAAAAAACAAAAAAAAACAAAAAAAACAGATGAACTGCTATCAAATCCTCGCAATATAATTACAACTATGTTGTCCTTTGGTTGAGGTTAATGGTTTAGTCCTCTGTAAATGAGAGTAGACTTTTGCTTGTTATTTTTTGTATGTAATTCACCAGTAGATTACAATTAGAAAGCCTTTTGGGGAAAATGAGTTTCAAAAGAGCTTTTAAATAAATATTTGATAGTTATTTCTTTACGTGTAGTGAGAGAAATTTGCATGGGACAAATAGAGAACAAGAATCATGGGACAAAATAGGTGCTGCTTTAAATAGAGCAGCCACGAAGTCTACCATAGAGGTCAGAAGAAAAGGAGAGCTTGGCAAAGGAGGGTGTTGGAACTGCTGTTTCCCTTCCAGCCCCCACTTCCCAATGTATAAGCTTCTGAGATGCTAAGTAAGGTTTAGTGGTTTTATGTGGCAAATAAATAAATATATCTTGATTTCAATCTCTTTTCTGGCATGGTTCTTATAAAGTTTTTCAGGATTGAAGTGACTAATTGCACTTGTCATTTTTAGGGATCTTCCAGACAATCCTTCTGTTGAATGGGACACACAGCTCCTCGCCTCCTTCGTGCTGAAGCATATAGAAGCCAACAACATCAACCTGGTAATGTGAAACTTCCTACCACGTAGGCAGTGCTTTTGAGCTAGTGTTCTAGGCCACTCCTATCTGGAGATCTTTCTTGGCTTCTCAGTGGGAAATAAACAGTGGAGAAGTTTTGTTTTAGTAACTCCTCAAATGTTTCTTATATTTTAAGATGATTGTTTTATCCCGTGTTGCTAAGTTTTATTGCTAAAAAGGGCCTGATTGGGATTTAGGCGGAGGTTTAGGCTTAGGTTTGAAGGTCATTGGCAGGTATGTATTAGAAGGCTAGATTAGTGAGGGCAGGATTGAAGGTTATTAAACCAGAGTTCCTAGAAATAGAGTTCTTTCCATCAAATAGGAAAAAAAAACAAACATGGCAAAACATGCTCTGTTCTTTTCTGTTGACCCTTGCTGTGATCACACATGTTATTGTCACACACTGATTAGCAGCAAAATCACAAAAAACTTTAAAGTGTTTCAGCAGTGTGCAAAACAAGAAGCTGTAGCTCCTGCAGCATGAATGCCCCCTGAGCATGAAAAACAGCAACATGTATCCAATTGAATTGATTCTGTGGCTAATTTTCCATGAAATACATTGCTGTGCGCAGAGACAAATCCAGTGTTCCTGCAGTCCTTTTGTGCCTTTTGATCCAGTGAATAGATAGGTTTTAATCTAATCTGAAAGCTCCTAATACAACAGGATTTGTATTGCATTTTTGTGACTCTCCTGGGCACCAGGACAAGTGCATCAGAATCCCAGTAGAAACTCTGAGATTCCAGAACTTTCTATAGATGGTTAGAGAGGGTTAGATCTTTGCCTCAGAGGAAATTAAACTCAAGCTGTTTGTTCTGGGGAAGCAGGAGTCTGGCACTAATATAGTGTGAGCTGAAAAATCAAGAGTGGGGAATTGGGAAGCAAGAAACGTGCACAATCACTAGTACTTGCCCTGCTGTGCTGTTGGTATTATAGGGTTTAGCTGTAGTAATGGAGAGTGCTGTTGCAGGGCCCATTGCATTCCCCTCAGCAGTTCCCTTGGCAGCAGTGAGGACAAATTATTCTAGCAGAACGTGTCAGCAGCATCAGTGGCCACTGAAGCATCTTCATGGGAACAGTGGTAATGAACTGCCCTGTGAACTTGCATTATTTTTAGTGTCACAGGTAATCACATGGTCTCAAATGCCTGCTGTAATACCTTTCAGGAAAGAGCAGACTTAGTTTGCCAACAACAAAAAGCAAGCACTAAATTGCCTTTGTCCAACTTCCAGCATTTTGGAACTGCAAACTTGCTATGTGTTTGCCAGTCTGTGCTCATCTCTGCTGTCCTGAGACAGTAGCCTTGTCTTGAAAGGTAAACTGAGTCTGTTTCAGTAATGGTGAAATTGATAAGATTAGCTTAACATGTTAAAAGAGCTTAATCAAAATGTAAGTTAACAGAGCTTCCAGCACATCCAGCTAATTCATTGAAGTTAACGTGACTGGAAGACACACATTCTTTGCTATCCCCGTGGGAAAAACTTCTCCAGTTTTCCCTGTAGTCTTATCATAGGAAACGGTATTTTTTTATTTACAGAACATATGTCATCTGGCAGTGGAGAAGCATGCTGCAATTCCAGCATGTGTGAAAGAAAAGATTGCAAGGCACCGTGTTAGGCATACTTTTGTTCCATTGCATTGTTACTCATTTCCACAATTGCCCTGGAAGTCCAAGAGTAACTCAATCTTCTTGAGAGCTATAGAGACATATTTCATCCAAGCTCCACACTAAATAGAGCAGACAGAAATTAACAGTTGGTGTGCTCAAAGCCAAAACTAATTTATAGACTTTGGAAATTATTTCCTGCCTGCTGGATTTGTAAGCAAAAGCCAGTGGTGCTGGGGGAGCAGCCAGGGGTAGTCTTGATCCAGATTAGAAAGTATTTGGCATATAAAGAAATGACATACGTAGTTACATAGTATTGTGTGGGCCCCAGGCAGCCCCACATTATGAAATTCTGCTCTTCAGGATTGCAGGTTTGGTGACAGCAAAGCTTGGATTACAAGGTGACGTCCAGACTGTGCATGGGGCAGCTGCAGTGCCAAGACCAGAATTCAGCAATAAGAGATTCTTAGAAGATGCCTTCCACCATAGACTGCTGGAAACATTATCCATTCAGCTGTTTGCAGAACAGTCCCATTGTCTTTGCTCAGCTCCAAATCAGTCTAGATAGCCAGACCCTATGAAATGATGCTATTAGAACGGAGGTTCTTGCTGTAGCACCTTATGGGATGGTTCTTCTTAAAAAGGAAAGACGTTTCTATCCACAGCAGTGTACTTGAGTAGATGTGTGTGCCCTGAAATACTGTATGATGTCAGAAAGAGAGAGGGAGACACACAGCTTCTCCAGCACACACAGCATGTACAGGGAGCATGGGCTCCAGACCTCTCAGGGGTTTTCTGCTTGTAACTGAGTAATTTCCTCTGTGCTCTCCCCACTCTGGAAGGGATTTCTGGGCCTGTTTGTCTTGGCTGCTGCTCTGGTTTCCAGTAGTGAAAGCTCAATATCCTAAATACCAAGGTCACCCGGAAGAAAACCCAGCAACACCAACAGCAGCAGCTCCCATTTCAGAACAGGTGTGGGGAGGGAACTCCCTCTTGCCCTGAAGATTTCAGCAATAATTTCCACATCAAGTGTATTTCCTATCCTACCCTTTTGCTCCCAGGACTGGCTAAGCCTGTTTTTAACCCAGGGTTTCAAGATGTTCCGGTTTCTTCATCCTGCCCTGATTGTTTGCTCGATTTCATCATCTGCCTGGTTCAGGTTATGTGTTCAAAGGAAGCACGCGAGCTAGCTGCACCGTGTGGAGGAAGCAAATGCTCCCATGTAGAAATATCTTCATCATGTGAGAAAGAAATTCAGATTTTTCATCAATGAAATTAATCCCCGAAGCTTGAGGAATATATGTACATGTGATTGCTGCCTGCTATAAGTCATGAGCACCACAGTGTTGCTGTGGAATCAGTGCTCTGTTTTAGAACACAGACCTAGAAGCTACACACTGGATAGCAGGACATCACCAGTGTGTCACAGTCAGCCTGAAGGATCTCTGAGGACAAAGATGACCTATCTGCAGATAAGGTGAATGCTGCTGTGACCAGGTCAGTGTGTGCAGGTACCTTGGGAATTATGTTTACAGATTTCTGCAGTTGAGGAGACAGGCTATTCAGTTGTAATTGTCCTAGCAGTAAATTAGACAGTATCAATTGAAAGTGAACTCCATGCAATCTCTTTACTTGGTTCAGATGTTACATAACCACAGCAATATGAAGAACAGCAGCTCCGATTTCAAAACAGATGTGGAGAAGGAAAACCTCTAAAGGTGTTTCTGTACAGATAATTTCCATGTCAAGAACATTTCCTAACCCAGCTTTGTGCTCCTAGAGTTGGCCTGAGCCAGTTTTGTCAAAATAGTGATTAGCTTATTTAGTCTGCCCACTGTAGTCTCTTATCTTGGTCTTCTCGTTTGTTCTTCTGTGCTCTCTGTAGAAGGGAAAATGTGTGTTTTGGCTTGCCTTGAGTTTATAGTTTGGTTTCCCAAGGAAACAAGTATAATGCAATTGTATTTGTGTGTGTGCATGTTTCAAAAGTCTTTAGAGCCCATTGGCTGATTTCAACCACGTTTTACAGCAGGGTGGTAATCTTGAAGACGTTTTATTTATACAGGTTACGTGAACATAAATTATCAGGTAGAAGAGACAAAGCTTGCTCTGTCCCTGTACAGTTAAAAGGTTAAATGAGAGTCCAATCCTTATCAGACTCACACTGTTAATCACCTGCTTAGGAATTTATTCTGCCTGTAGCGAGTGGGACATGTTGTCATGTTAGGAGAGCTCCACTATAGGTAGAAGTGACTTCAGTGCACACTTTTTCTTATCAGTAGAATGCAGGGTGCTGTGCTGGTTCCTCAAGCTGTACAGAATTCAATAACATCTTTCACAGATGAGCTGCTCAAAAAGCTGATAATCTTAGGGAGAGCTGAGCACCTTTCCAGACCGTGCAGTCCCTGCAGGCAGACTGTCAAGTAGTGCTGATGTTCAATAAAGCAGCCAAAGCAGAAGGCACCTGCTGCTTGGTGGCAACACAACTACAGCCACTGGGCAAAGCAGGGGGTCTGTCTGAGGGCTTGTGCTATAGGTGGATGGGCTTGTTAGCAGGTTTGCCTGGAGTTTGTGGGATTTAAAGTATTTTTCACTGTCTCTGTTTCCTGTCCTTTACACGGTATCTCCTATGTGTGAAAGGGCCTCTTCTGTTGGAGGGTGGAGTAGAAAGTTGCAGGATGGGCAGGGTGGTTTTTGATCTTCCCTTGATCATTAACCCAGTACTTCAAGCCTTTCTTAGAAAATAAATGTTGAGGAGGGAGCTGTGGTGAGTAAGCAAGGCAGTAAGATTTTCTTCCCTCAAGAAAGAACGGGCTGGCAAAGAAGCAAATATTGGTTGAAATGTAGGGAGTTTTATTCCTCCCTGGTCACAGAGAAAGGAGCTGTGAAGAACTCTGCTGCTTGGCCTCTTTCAGAGTGGAAGCCTAACTGGATGCTGTTGAAGGGCTGTCACTTTCACCATATGGAAACCATACCAGTACCAGCATATATACCCTGTCTGCTCTACACTTTGTGCTGCCAGTTTGTCTTCCAGATTGGTAGCAGGAATCTTTTGATACCTACTTCACAGTACTGTGCAGAATGAGCACTCAGGGTGGATGCTTTGCCCCAATACATTATTGAGTGGCTCTGAGGACTGGGAGCCAAGGGTATTCCACGCTTTGGATAGCAACTTGTTAATGCTACTTTCACATGTTATTTCTGCATTAAAAAGTCCTCGTTTCTCCCTGCAGAGAAGTGAAAAACAACATGCTCTTCTCATTCAGCTGACAGCCTGATTTGGTTGTACAAAGAGGGCAATCAGCTGATTCCTTAAAAAGGTTTATTCTCATATCAGATTATCAACTATTGCTGTTGTGTGATGAAGTCTCATTACAATCAGGACAGTAATGCACAATTGTGTTGCTCTTATTAGAGCAGTCTGTCCTGAATCACAGCACAGCAAGCTTATAGTCTCACCCTGCAGTTTACAGACATTCTGGTATGTTCTCAGATCCAGGAGAGAGTGATTCATAGAGCTGGACTACTTGGGACAAGAACAAGTTTGCATCAGATTACTCTGAAAGTAGCCTTTTGGCTATATAATAAGTAACAAGAGCATCCTGCCGTTGGGAACATGATACTTATCATTTCTCCCTTGTTTAAGCTATTAGACTGTATAGTTGTTTAGTTCCAGACTGTCCTCACTTATTTGTTTAGATGTGTTTCTGTAACTCGAGTTCACACACAAAGGCTACATTGTGCAACACAAAAACAACTCTTGGGAGACAATGGCCTGGGACAGTGCTGTGTTAGATGTCAAAGCTGGTTATTGCATTGTCTCTTTATTCTTCAAAATGTTCTGTTCTGCGGTTTTGTTTTGCAGGTGGTAACTTTTGATGCGGGAGGAGTGAGTGGTCATGCTAACCACATTTCTCTCTACACTGCTTTAAGGTACAGCGTTCTGCATGTTTGTTGGATGCCTCACTGTAGTGTTACAGCGTGAACGTGGTGTTTGTGTGTAAGCAGTTGATTACCAGGTAGAGCCAAGAGCAATATTAACTTTGCTCATACCTGTGTGCTGGGCCATGGGACATGATGCTGTTTAGAGGAGCTCCTATAATGTGGTAAATGACCCACAGCACCCTTTATTATTCCACCTGCTGGTGCTTTGCTAGTCTTCCTTTCACTGAGGCCTCTTTTGCTCTTCCAATTCTTGATCTCAGAGCAGTGACACATTCTTACTCCTAGTGCAGTGTGGTGAATGCACTTCCACTGAAGTGTGCCACAGATCATTGCATTTCTGGTTTGAGGTGAGTATGTGAATAGATGCATGAGCTGGTGGTAGCTGAATTTTGGAGACGCCTGCACCATTGTTCAAGCGGATGTTGCTATGCCATCTGATTATCTGAATTTACTACTCTGGGCAGAGGATATTGCTCTTTGACTAAAGCTGTCCCTATTTACCGATCTTCCTAAGTCAGTTCATTGCTTTATCACTTTATTCTTTAAATTCTGAAAGCCTTTGTCTCTGTGTTGTGATGTAGGAAGGATGCTAGACAAAAATCACCCAATTTTTTCCTGGCAAGGCAGCTAACCATATTTTATTTTAACTGCTCATTCAGATTTCATTGTGTCCTAGCGTGATTTCCCTTAAGCCGTCCCTGTCTTTTCCAGGCATGAGAAGAACTCTTTGCAAGTTTATCTTGTATTTTTAGCACCCATTTGTTTTCTGAATCATCTGTGCAATTCAAGTAACTCTGGATCTCCAACATCGTAGTCATTTTCCTTTCTTACTTGATTGAAGAAAGCTACAGAGCCACATATCCCATTACTGGGACCTACTGAGCTCCTCTGGGAAGATGCTGAGAATCTTTGATCCTGTCTGATGGCTGGAACTCAGTGTTAGAGGAGATCATGGCTCTTCTGAAATAACTTCACTTCCCTTCTTTCTGTTAAGATAAAGTAAACAGTGCATTTGTTTGGACTAAGTGGTGAGATGCTTTCCAGCACAGTGTTGCTTGAGGGGTGAGCAAAGGACAGAGGTTGATGGCTGATGCTTACACATTTGCAGAGGTAGCAGAGAGCTTCCAGCTACCTGGAACCCTCAGTGTTTGCTCAGACAGTTTGCCATAGGGCTTGCAAATAGAAACAGAAGACAGACTGTTAGATATCCCCCTATGTCCCAAAAAGATATAGGGAAAACAAGGTAGCAGCTGTATCAACTATTATCCCAACTCTTCTTTTGTGTCACTTTGTGCAGAAATCACTTTCCCACCTTTGCGCTGTAGGTTTCCTATGTATGCATAGGGGATTGTTAACCTTTTTCTTGTCTCAGAGTATCTTCCTGAGAAGTATTCTTTATCTGGAGGCCCCTTGAGCCCAGATTTTTGCATTAGTCCTTAGCCTAAGCAGAATATTGCCCTGAGCTGATGAGGTGGTCTCACTTGTATCTGAATATATAAGCAGCTCTCATTAACGAAGGACCAGTTTGTGTCTCATCTCTTTTCTGGTCCTGAATCAGCAGAAATAAGCATGGCAACTCAGTCATCTGTGTGTGGCAGGAGTGATGCTGTGGTCACCGAAAGGTTAATTTTATTTTTAGTGTCTTGCTTGCTCTCATTAGTTTTCAGTTTGTGTCATGGAAGAAGTAGAGCGTGACTGTATCACTCCTGATTTTCAGTGCCCTGGTGAGTTCTTATATACTGGCTAGTGCAGGCTGCATCAGGAGCATGTGTGGGGCTTCTCACATACCCCCTGCTAGCAGGGCTTTGCAGAGCAGAGGTTGCTGCCCCCAGGGCCCGAGTGCTACATGGCAGCAAAAAGACAAATTAACTCTCTTCTCTAGGTATTATATGGAATGCATTTATTTCTCAGCCATCTTTAAATGAGGTCTGCAGGACTCTGCCTCTGCTGTGACAGCAAGTGGAAAGGGTGAAGCAGAAGGCTGATGCAGCAACACTCAGCTCTTTTGGAAGTTCTCTGACTGTGGAGACTGACCTTACGCCCACTAAGAGGTTGCTTGCTGTAAGAGCCAGAGGTACAACAGGCCATGTGATCCATTCCACAGCTCCTTGCTTCAGGAGATACAAATTATTAAACAGCTGCAAGGAGCACAGCAGTTCAGGAAATGGTCATAACTGAGCAGATTCTCAGCATTATCTGCTAAGAATGTAAATAACCTTTCTAGGGTCTGGGACAGAAGTTATGTTCAGAAGAGCAGAAGCTATTCAGAAGCAATGCTCCTTCCACTTGCACCAAATATCCTTGTGACACCCTGCAAGGAGTCTAGATGCTGTTATATGTCTAGCCTTCAGATCTGTGAAATGCCAAGGTTTGAGAGTGGGTTTCTTCTTTTGCAAGGGAAAAATACGAAGGGGAAAAAAAAAAATACCCAAAAATAGGATGGGGGAGGAACACAAATTGCTATTTGATTTCAGTCTCCCCTGGGAGTATTTCAGTTCTGCCTTCCAGATTGAGAAAAAAAAAATCAAAAAACATCAAAAGAAACAAAAAAAGAAAAGAAAGAAAAACCCAACACTATAGCAAAGAAGAGGGAATAGAATGCAATTCTCTGTAGCTCTATTTCTTTCCATGTGGCCTTGATTTGGCAACATAATTCTCCTTTATCCTCAAAGTAGGAACTTTCCCTGTGGCCAAGACTGGACCCTGTGCACAAATTCACAAGGATAAACAGGTCTCAAGTGACATCAGGGTCACTTAATTCCCTTTCTTAGTATTTGGTCAGTCACTAAAGCAGAACAATAATAACCATGGTAAATAATACGTGACAGGAATATTTGAGAACCTCTCTTTCCTGCACTTTGAAATGACAGTGTTTGCACTGAGATCACATGTAATATCAAGGAGTTCTAGTTTTGTATGAGTCATCTTGCATTTTGATTTTTATACAAGCCTTCTTGCCTAGCAAATGGAGGGCTGTTGATTTTGTTATTTGCTTGCTTAAGGTGGGGAGAAATGGCCACTGTGAGGGGGAGGAAGGACTGTAACATTTGTTTTTTTCAGCGAGCAATCAAATCCACTTCATCCCACCTAGAACAGAAAAGAATAGTCCTTGTCTGCTTAGGGCAGAACAAACTGAGTGGAAAATAGGAGCTACTATATTTAACCATGCATTATGTTGTTATAGCAACTGCATCCATAAAACTTGTATCAACGATGCCATATAAAAAGCTACATCAAAGAATCATTAGCTGAGCTTTTTCTCATCAGTTCAATTTAGAAAAACACCTCTCAGTCTTTCAGGATGTTTCTTAACATCCATCAGCTCAGTGGTAGGTTGTAAATGAGACTGTGATATTGCTGCAGAAATGATATTTGGGAGCTTAATGCTTTATCTCTCTTGAGTTGATTGTGATGCAGCTTGAGTGCCACCAATGCCTTTTTGCACTTATGTGTCACAGCTTGACTTCTGAGTGCCCCCTTTATGAATGCCATGGTATGTAGCACTGTGAGGGTGGTTTGCACCAGGGTTTTCTCAAAGAGGAGGTCTGATGAAATGCCAGTTTCAAATAAGTGTATCAAAACAACGATCAGCATTGTCCAGCCAAATCCCACATATTTGGTAGGCACTGATTCCAAAAGCTGCCAACTGGATTACATCTCTACAAAGCTCAGTGCTTGTATTGATTTTCTAAGTTCAGGTCTTTAAGAACATGTTGAGCAAGAAACAAGCTGTTTCTGTGATAATTAGCTTGATGACAGTGTATGGGTCCCTATCTACCATTTTTATTGCAGGTCTTTTTACAGTGCAGGGCTAGAATGGGACTCTGATCCCTCACTCCTTTTAAGCAGCTGTAGCCCACATATTTCAAATGAGTGACATCTCATATATGTTTTCAAAGCAGACTACAGTCTTGTTATTTCCCTTGCTTTCTCCCAGAAAATCCTTCTTCCAAACCAACTATTATTTGCTCCACCTTGGAAAAGGATTTTTTGTGTCACTGATGTGTATGGTTGGGATTCTTTAGGCCTTAACAGAGTTGTAGGGTTCCTGCAAAATAAAGAGGATGGGAGAAATAACAGGGTGCAGTATCTTATGTTTCAGTCTGTCCTTTAACAGTCCAGCTCACTTCTGGTATTTTGTTTTTAACGCTCTCAAATGTCCTAAGTGATGGGAGAATTTGTGAATGGTAGCTGTGGTTGGACCCAGACTCTGTCCTTAAGGTCAGGAAAGAAATGTCCTCTGTTTTTTATCCTGAGTTTCTGTCCTTTCCCCTCAGATGACTGCCCCATGCCTGGCATACATCAATTAGGTATCTAGCTGACTATTTCCTCCTAGATTTTATCTCATTCCTTAGTTTGACTAAGCTCATTCACCCCAGTGCCCTTCCACGGTCCTGGTGGGAGCCATTAGGTAAGGTTGCACACAAGGCACTGTATTGTTGGTAGTCAGCAGGGATTCCCTTCCACCAAGAAGGTTTTTTTTTTTTTCCTGAAGAAACAGCCTGAAGGAATGTCCTTCCCAGTGTCACTAGACTGCTAGCAGCATGACTGGAGCAGTGACACTGCATGTTCTTCTCCCAGTGCAGGGACCTAAGCACAGAGCCAAAGAGAAGCTCTGTCAACTGGAAAATCTCTGAATCGCCACTTTTTTTTCTGAATGATGGAACAGTCTTTCACCACTGTGATACACGTGAGTACAGAGTGTCTGAATAGTGTTTAAAAAGCTGCATGTTGTTATATGGTGTAGTTCAGGGTGCATGGAAAGGCAGCCAGAAAGTCCAGTTAGGGAGGGAGGAGGCATTCCAGATAGTAAACATTCAACATCTGGCAAGTGTATCCCTCTTATGTCTTGGTGATTCCTAGGAGACTAACTGTTCTTCCTCTTTCACATCTGTTTCATCAGATTAATTGGGCAGATTAGAGGTTAGGATCCTAAATGGAGCCCCAGCATATCTTTAAGACATCCATTCTTTTGCTGTGCTCTTGAAAACTGCATTTCCCCAGGGCTCTACAGCATCCAGCGTAGCACAGTGAAGGGTTTTGCCTTTGGCACCCAGATCTAATTGGAGAGTGAAGTCATTGATTTCAGTGAGAAATTGTTCACAGAAGAGAACATTACCAAAGCTGTGATCCACCCACCTGAGCATCAGTCCCACTTCTAACCCAAAGGAGTTCTGTGTTCCCTGAGGCAGAGATCCCAGCTCCATTTTGACTTATTCCTTCTTGCCTTCACAGGCTGCTATCAGGGGTCTGTACTTTAGCCCACTTGCTTTGCTGACAGCTTTCATTGAAGTAGGCTGAATAAAGGATTCAGGAGCTGTCTCCATTCAGCAGTTTGCAGAATGGGGTTTGTTGGCCTCTTCAGGTTTTTCTGCTGGGCAGATGCAGGTGGTAGCTACAGACAGGAGCAGCTTTCAAAGCTGCTGGTCCTTGAGGGATGGTCCTTGCAGTGCAGAAATGGTGGATGCCATCACAAGTCTCATAGTATTTTGGAGCTCTTCTTTGCAGAGGGTTGCACTTTGTTTCAAATGTGGATCTGAAACCTACAAAAGCTCTAACAGGGGGTGCAGTGAGAAGTACCTTGAAATCAGCTGGCCTTTGGGATTTGGTGGGTGGATGGGAATTGAGCTCTATATTTAAAAGAAAAGAATTTTTATAAAAGGTCTCTTTGGAAGAAAAACACAAAAACACTGCTAAAAAAAGAGCCTGTTTGTGTTTGACTTGTCAAGATTTTATGCCAAACTCTTTCATTTCACCCAAACCACAGCAAGTCCAATCTATAAAACAACATTCCCAAAATGGCAACAACAGACAGCTGCAACCTCTTCCCTACTTGGAAGTGTCCCATGGAGAAAGCTTCAGCAGGGTGGAGATGGGAGCAAGAAGATTGATTTGGGGGAGGATTGGCTAGTTTTATGAACATGTTGCTTTCTCTCTTCCTCTGTTTCTCTCTCTCTCTTTCTGCAACCACACAGTTCATTGCCAGCTCTAGCCTGAGAAATACGAATGAGCAAGGCTGCAATTCCTCTGCACCTGGGTGGAGTCCATTCTGAGAGCTCTGCACGGAGCTGAACTATTTGGCTCAGGACAAAAAGGATAAGGAAATGATCCGAGTTTCTCTGTGCCTGTTCTTCCAGATCAGTATCAAGTCTCTCTGGCTGCAGTGTTGAAGACCTTTCCTTAACCAAAATATGTAGTTTGTGTGCCTCTGAACCTTTACACAAACACAAGCCCCTTAATTTTCTGCTGGACCAAACTTTCCTTCCATGCTGAAGGTGCCCCGCTGCTCCTGCTGGAACATTTCCATATGAACTGGATCTCTCTTTGTTTCTGTTTCTAGTGGCCAGAAATGGTGATTATTAGTTCTCTAGTGGAACAGCTCTTCACAACCTTTAACTTGCTGTCCGTTAGTGCTTTGACAGCCTCTCAGTACAGCAGCAGCACATGCAGAACAGGCACTAGGACTTGGGATAGGTAGCCAGATTTCCCACCCCTCACTGCTTTTTCTCTTCAAGTTTATTTTAAAGCAAGTTCCCACCCTGCTAGCTTTACCGAGTGCTGAATCACCACTTTGGGTGGCCAGATTCTAGCTGGAGGGGAAGGAACTTCTGGCAGAAGAGCAGAGCACACATTAATGGAGATATTTAAACCTTTCCCTTGCCTCTGAAAAATTGCTGGTAGTGTTTACAGAGCAACGTTGACAGTCTTGGTCTGTACAGTAGGACTTGAGTAGCGGGGTGTAAGGGGGGCTAAGCCAATATTACAGGGCCACTGTTTAGTAGAAAATGGTATTGCTTGTTGATCTTTGGCTCTGGAGGAGACCACTGGCAAGAGAATCTATTTAAGGCATATGTCTTCTGATTGTTGTTTGAGTTCTGCCATGACCTGCATTTCTGGCTTGGCTTTTGCTTTGAATTGCTTTGGCTATTCATATTTCAGTGCTTCCTATTTTGTCTACTCCTGTGTAGCTAATCCTTTTCCTTGAACTTAACCAACAGCCAGAGATAATCCTAGTTTGAAAGTGACTGGAGAAACATAACAGTTTACATATAATGTATGTTTTATCCTGGCTGATTTACACATGAACTGTCATGTTGTCCTTTGTTAAATACACCACTATAAAGACGATAACAATCTTTTTAAATATTACACAGGGTTAAATAACTTTCCTTTTTTTATTTCCTTTCTCTTTTTGGCAAATGTTCCATTGTTTGGATATCTTTTTCTAATGGAAGAGCAAGCCTGGGTGTGGGACAGCTCTGAGTGCCATCTGCTGGAGACCTGCTTCCTCCCATCCCTTTGATGGGCCAAATCTGGAGGCATTCAAATGGTGATGCAAGTGTAGGTGTTCTGTCACTATGAACTACGGGCCAGAGCAGAAAAAAAAAAATGTCCCCTCATTCTATTCCAAAGGATGTGTCTGTGCCACAGAAATTCCCCAGGTAAAAGTCATGAACAGATCAAAGTCTTATTGAGCAGCAAGTTGGAGCAAATTCTTGGATTGTCCCAGTGCCAGCACAGGTTAGAAAGGAGGAAGTGGGTCCCCAAGCAGGAGCTGTCAGCTATGTTTCTGGTCAGCAGACAGAGACCTGTAAGAGCAAATGCTATCAAAGGTAAATAACCTTTGGCAGTCTCCTACAGTTTTCCTTAGTGTAGCAGAAGTTTGAGAGTGAATTGGATTTATGGAGCTTATTTGTGCTGTGTCCCCAGCAGCCAGCATAGAAAAGAAATGGCAGATTAACGTGGGGATTGAGGCTTGCTACTGCCTGACATACGCCTCCAGTGTCTGCTCCTTAACTTTCTTTTAAGATCAACTATTATAAATGTGTATTAAGAGAAAGGAGTTAATACAGAGTCCGTGTCTATAACATCAAGATTTGAGTAACTTCATTATTGTTTACCTCCATGTATCTCTTCATTCACAGGTACCTGCATTCAGAGAGGAAGTTACCTGAAGGTATGTCACACAAAACAGCCAGGACTCTGCACACATTAGGCAATCTTTCACATGCGCATTCTGTCCAGGGCTTCATCTGCCAAATCCATCTCTATTTGAAATGCAAATGAAACCCACAACTGAACCCTTTCTTGCTCTTTTATCTCCCTGCAGCCTTTCACCAGCTTAGTCTCCTCTGCAGTCACTTTCCTGTCTGGTTTGGGGAACCTATGCCTTTCCTATCCTTTGGGGTTGTCCTGTATCAGTAGTGTGACTTGGTGTCTGCTCTATGATTCTTGCCATCTTGCTTGAATATAAGGGCAAAATCAGTTTTATTCCCTGATAGTAGCACATTGCAGACCAAGATCTAGTGGAGAGAGCTGGGGCCAAGATGGCAAAATGCCCTATAACTGAGCTCTCACTCTAGTCTCTTCAATTCTGCCATCTAAGAAAAATAGCATTAATGCCAACTCCTTTCCTAGGAATTGTGAAATAACAGCAAAGAGCTGCATATGTGCTGTATGTGGTACAGAGAAAGAACAAGGAACTGCAGTGGTAGATGTTGCTGCTAGATGTCAGGTATTTTCTAGACCAAACCAGCTCTGTGCTCAGTTCATTCTGGTTTAGATATGGACATTAGATATAATGTGGTCCTGAATAGACTGGATGGGCTGTGCCTCAAATTGGTTCAGGTTTGAAACAGACCCACGTGTAGATAGCATTTCCATTTCTCTAGCAGCATCATGAAACTCCTGAAGCTATATGAAAGCCTTGCTGCTCTGATTACATCACATCTGACATGACCTACAAATGCCAAAGGAACGGGGAGCTCCCATGCTGCTGCTTATGCTAAGCCTTTCCAAATATAGTTCCAGTCTCATTGAAATTCCTGGTATTTATAATTTGATCTGGCAGGCGTGCAGGGCTGTGCATCAGAGGGGCTTAATGAAACAAGAGTGATGCTGGGATTGAGGCTGTCTGGATAGAGCTGAAAGGCATGTTCAGGCCATGGAAATGTCCTGCTCTGCTGTTGGTAAGAGGGAAGTATTTGTGGGTGAACCCGTGTAAGCTCATGTGATCAGGGAATCCAGACAAAATCTCTCTGCAAATGCAAAAGCCAGCTAAGCCTTGCATTGCCTCACTGATATGCAAATGAACACCCTAAATATCCTGCTTTGCTTTCTAATGCCCTTAGCCAGCATAAAGACAGCAGGCTTTTTATAATCTGTAATCAAGTTGGCCGGGCCAGGCACAAGCACGTAGGCTTGTTTTTAGAAGCCAAAACAGCTGCTGGTATGAATCCACCCCAATTGCTGGCCCTGTCCAGCTTTAACCACCACTCTTTCAAAAGAATTGGTGCGCTGATGTCTGTTAGGAGCAGTGCAAGCCCTTAGCATGTGTAGATCTGCTAATAATCTCACTCTAGGCATACTTGCTGCATAAGCAATTTGAAAGTAGGAAGCCAAGCCAAACAGGCTTTATGTGCTTCTATTCTAGGTCTAATCCACTAGCTATATTGATCTTGCCCTTTCTGCCAACCTAGAGAGGTTGTATTACACTGTTAATCCTGTCCTGCCCAGGTCACAGGCACAACAGGCTCTGAAGAGCTTCACCTGCTGGTGTCATAGGAGTAGACTCATCAATGGCAGCACTTCTCTTACCCTGCTTGGCAGGGTGCAGTCTGTTTCTCTCAATCCTTTTCCATCTCTCACTGAACTGTACATTCCTTCCCTGCTTCGCTTCATCTCACGTTCCCATGCAGAGCAGCCCTTGCTGTCAGCATGTGGAGATCCTTATCATATCACTGACACAGAAGGCTCTTACAGTGCCCTTCATGTTGTGAAGCTTGAATGCCCACGGCTTTGCCTGATCTGACCGATGGGGGCCCAGGAGGCCCAAGTGATGAATACCAAATACTGAGTTTGGTTGCAGCTGTTTGAGGAATAGCAGGAACAGAACCTGCAGGCTTTGCTGTTCTGAGGAAGAGGGCTGGTGCATTCTAGAGTTAAAAAGAGCGCAGATTTGCTACTTGGAAACGAGAAGTGCCTTTAGTGCCAAGTAAAAGCTGTCAGAGCACTTCTGTGTGGAGCAGCAACACACTTGTCACTGCAGAGCATCCTTCGTGACAGCAGGCTGAAACCTTATGGCAGCTAAACAGCAACTGCTCAGTCTGTGACATGTCAGGGAGGACCGTGAGCAGCCGGGCTATCAGGAGGTGACACAGGCCACCCGGTCACCCAGCTGCCTGCGTTCCCGCACGTCCCAGGGACACACTGCAGGGAACTTGGCACTGCTGTCGGTCCTCCCAGACAGCATTGCACAGCTGCAGCTCCACAGGGACCCACACGGTGACCTTGCAAGGTTGAGCAGCCGAGGCTGCAGCAGGGAGCAGCAACGTGGCACAGCAATGACATGGTTCTGACCACAGGGCCACCAGCACAGGAGGTGCTTGCAGTGACCCAGCCAGGCTGTGCGTTTGCAGCTGCCTCGGGCTGCCATCTGCCGGCAGCTGCAGGAGGGCTTTGCTGTTTTCTTTTGAAGGAGAGAGGAAAGAAAGGGATTGAAAGGTAAGGAAATGTGTTGGAGTTGGTCAGGGCTGCCATGTGCTGCCATCGCAGGTTTTGGTTGGATTAAAGCAAGACTCATTGCAGCAAAGTGAGCGTGTCACTAAAACGATTATGCAGCCTTGTAGCAATTCAGCATTGTTCTTTGTCTCATTGGAAATCTAATGGCGTATCTGACTGCATGTCTACACAGCAACTTTGGCCTTTCCTCTTGGACTGCAGTACAGTATCTAAAGCATGGAGTATGATCACAGCAGGTTCTGAGCCCTAAGAAATCCCAAAGCAGCTCTTTTGAGAGCTATAAGCTCTTACTGGGACCATCAGTAGCTCTGAGCTCATCAGTAAAGACAATTTAGACATAGTTTTTAAAAAAAGAATAGAAATTAAAAAGGAATTAACTTTTGAGTTCAGAGGTCTCTTCAAAATTGGGGGGAAAAAAAAAAAAGAAAATCCTAGTCGATATAATCTTAATACAGTCCCTTCATCATGAATATCTGAGCAATGAATTCTAGAACTCTGAAGTGTAACTGCCACCCTGACTTAATGTTTGATACAACCATTCCTGAATCTTGTATTATTTTTTTTTTCTGTAACTAAGAAGTGGAGTAGAAAGAGGAAATCTTATTTTTGTTGATGAACCAGAGACAGCTGTTTTAAATTTCCATTACATCAGGCATGTCCAACCTGCAGCCTGCTTACCAGGGAAAAGCAGCCTTCCCTTTGCAGTCACGCCTTACTCATGGCACTGCTTTTTGGCACTACATACATTTGTGAACAACTGTTTTCAAGGACAAAGCACGGGAAGAGTAAAATTTCATCAAAAATCTGACAAATGCTGTGAGAACTCATTGAGAATTGCAGCCACTGCCATTGAACCTGGCTGATGTGTTACTTCCACAAAAACAAGATCACATATCCCTTTTGTGCAATAAGAACAGTATAGGGGAATCTGCAAAGACCTGCTGTGCCTAGAGAGATGGACACCTTACAACAGTTCTGTTGTTCTGTAATATCTATCCTGTTTTTCTGCCTAGGATGCCGTGTGCTTGTCCTAGAGTCAGTAAATCTCCTGCGGAAGTACATCTCCATCCTGGATGTGCCCCTTTCCTGCCTCCTGCCCAGAGATGTGCTCTTCATACTCACAGAAGAAGAGACTCAGCAAGCCAGGGTGAGACTCTTTGTACTTGCTTAACTTGTTTGAATAACTTATAATCATTGCAAAGACTCTGGTCCGAAGGTTCAGGTCGTCTTCACAGATAATTATATCTGTAGCTTATAAATGCCACTAGTGAACAGTCTTCAGTGATTTGTGAAATATGAATGGATGAATAGCTTTGCTTCATGTGTTGCGTGGATAGTAGGACAGGGCTGAGTAGATTTACAGCTCAGAGATCATTGTATTTTGAATTTGAAGATGTAAAGTCTGGGAGGACACTGAAAACTGCAGTCGTATTGGGTCAGGAAGGTTTTTGTAATTGTTTCTCAACTGTTTTTCCTTCTAGAGAGCCATGCAGTGTCATCACAGCCAGCTCCTCTGGTTTCGCCGCATCTATATGCTTTTCTCACGTTACGTGGTGATCAATTCTCTCCACCTTCTAGAAAAGACAACGCTTACAACTCAGGGAGTAAAAGAATGAGCCAAAAAAAACTGTGCCAGGACAACCTCTAAAGAAACCCCAATTATTAGACACTCAAGAGGACGGGATTCTCTCTGTGTAGTGTTCTTTCAGACTACAAAAAGCAGGTTGTATATAAACTTTCTTCTGAATCTTGTTCCCTGATACGTTGAGATGAAGAGGGTTTAACAGCACTATTTTCTCACTGTAGAAACTTAAATAGGACATGAAAATTGAATTAGCCTAATAAGGACTCAAAAGAAGGGATACTCTGCTAGAGAAGATATGGCACAAGCTATTTTTCCTCTGGACACAGTTATGAAGACAGCTTCGGACCTTTATCTCTTGGTACTTTTGTAAAATCCAAATATTAGGAGTGACTTTTATGTTCTATCTTCACAGATAAAATCAAACTACAAGACCCATCTTACTCAATCAGAACTTTTAAAAAGCCGAAGCTTATGAATAAAGCATTTATTTTTTCTATTTGCACTGATCTTTGCTGCTACTGCTGCTGCTTTGAGATGCACTGTGTTGCAGGCTCCCCTTTCCCAGAGCATCCCTCATGAAATGCAAGCATTTCTTCTTGCTTCAGAATATGGGGCTTGAGATCAACTCAAAAGAGTCTCAGTAGGATCTAAGAATGAGTTGGAAGAGACCCAGACTGTAACTGAGTCTTTTGTAGAACACATGGAGACAAAAATAGCAAGCAGTGTTTCAGAAGTTGTTCCGCTTATGTGAAAGACAACTGCAGGAGTTAAAGATCCTCACCCTTTGTGTTAAAAGGTAAGTGAAGATGCCAGCTTTCAGTGATTAATTCCTTAGGATACACAGAGATTTTAGGAATGATTTGGGATTCTGCAGGCTACAGTGTAGCGAAGTCAGCAATACTTCATGTTTCTGTAGGCCTTTGCACTCATTAATGTGGGCTTGCATCTGCTGGCACATCTTCCCTGCATCTGCACTGCTAGGCAGTGCACTGTCAAGATGAGAACCTAAACTGCCAGATTATGATGTGCTGCTTTGAGCACATCCTGCTCAAGACAACAGGTGAGTTCTTGGTTGTAGTCGAGCACGTGTCCACTGTTACAAAAGTATGACTGCTGAATTCAGTATGCATATGCCATCTCAGCCTTAAAACCATAAGCAAGTCCAGGCTTAAGCAAAGCAGTACTTTTATATCACGCGAATAACTTCAGTGGTCCCTCTACTGCATACATTTAAGCACCTGTAATAAATGCTTTTCTGAACCTGAGCCTAGTAAGCTCTTTCAAAGCCCCTTTAACTCTCAATTCATGGTAAGTTCACTGAAGTTATTGGAGAAAAAACAGCACAAGCTAGTTCTTCGTCCTAAGCAAGAGATTATCTTATATAGAACACTTTATAGGACATTTTTGAAAGCCAGACTTCATTATTTTTAAAACTTTATTGTGTTTATTGTGATTAAGCTTTACCATAGCTAAGGATGAATTACCAAAGTACGAGTCCTGGGGTGGTTTACTGAATAAAGGTAGCTTTAAAACTCAGAGTCACAAATGAATGGCACAGGCAGAATAGAAATATTTATTTAAGAAACAGAAAGATAACAACACTCAGAAATGCCCGGACTACAGTTCCATGGCAGTGCTCCAAGTTCAGCTGTCAGAAGGGTATGTCAGGGTTTTGACATGTCTCTGATGGTCTTATGTTCCTTCACTGCCTTCTCCCATTCTTTGCCATTGATATCCTCCGTAATAATGCTGTGCACAGTGCCATCATCCAGACAATGGGGAGCTATCCCTGAAGAAAAAGAGAGTACACAGAAACCTGCTAAAGAGCAGGAGATAGATGCATCTCTGCGCCCTGCAGATGGGGCACCTCAGAGATTGTCAGTAAATGCTGTCAGTTCAGCTACTGTTGTAAGGCTGAAGAGTCTACATGAGAAAATTGTCGTGGGTGGAAGACCACAAGTCACAGGTAAGGCTATTTCATGTGGAGGAGCCACAGGGTCAGGCTACAGCTCTAGATATTTGGTAAATTAGGGAAAGACTGAAGACATGCTTTGCCATGCTCTCTGCTCTCAAGCTAGCAACCAGTGGAGTCTCCATCCAAGATTTGCTTGGTGGTCAACTTTTGCTACCACAGTTTGCCAGGTTTACTCTTTTTACCTACCATAGCCATCTGGATTTGAGCGAGGAGTGTAAAAGCTCTGCACACCACAGGTCTTGCAGAACGTGTGCTGGGCACGATGTGTGTTGAAGGTGTACGTTGTCAAATTCTCAGCACCCTAAGCAGAAATAAAAATCAATGTAGATTTCCCACATAAGTAGGTGTATTAATTACTTTTTATGAACTTGTAGCTAAGACATAAAATTTAACATATCAGTTTCTTGTGTCTACTTGAGATACAGAATTAGGGCAAGAAAACTGGGAACCACTCACATCTTTTACAATAATAATCGATTATGGATTAGATAATTTATTTCTGTTAGTGTTTGTGGCCAGGTTTTCACTGCATTCTTACTCTACCTTCAGCAGCTTGAAACGTGAAGCTGGGACAATGAAGTGTCTGTTCTGCTTCTTTGTGCAAATGCTGCAACTGTAAAAGAAAGAGAAGACCCTTTCTAGAAGCAGCAGATGAGTTGTAATACAGGAATCAGATCAGAACTAGCTCAGACCTCTTGATGACAGAAATTCCACTAAGAGCTAAAATGCTTCATTAGCCTCAAAGAGGTAAGTGACAAAAGTGGACTCATACATATCAGTAGTGTTTGCCAAGGATGCCCATGAAACAGACTGACCCTATGCAGGTAAGCAGTAAGGCATTCACCTCTAGCAAGCATTATATGTCTCTTTTTTCCCAAGTGCAACTTTCAGTAGACATACCAAGGACTAACTATAGTCTGAGAAATGCATTTAATCTTTCAGATCAGTAGGCCAACTTTTCTAACATTAATTAACTTGCAAACAAGAAAGTAAGATTCAAAGGTTACCCATGAGCTGGAAGCAAACTAGTTGCAGGTGGGGGAAACACTGAAATCAAACACTGCTGTAGTTTGAATTTGTGGTCAGGAATGTAACATTTACTGGAGCAGACCAAGTTAAAAGGGGATTGATGTGCTTTGAGCAGGCTGTACTTCGAGGAAACATAAAGCAGACCCCTGAGCACCTGTAGTCATTAGATCATTCCCAACACTTTTTGCATGGGTGCAGATGGGGGAACCTTGAAGTCCTGCCTACCAGTGCATCACCTGCACTGCTCCCACATTGCCTAATTACATGCTGATCCAAAGATCCTATGGAAACAGGGCAGAGGATGTTCTCCAATTTTATTATAGTCTTTTCTCTATGACGTTGACTGGAAAAGCATACGAGCTCTTATTCGTGTATGAGAACAGGGAACTGAAAACTCACTTGCAGTTAAAAACATGCAGGTCTGCTGAAGCCCAGACCTCAAAGCGGATGGCTCCGCAGTGACAGCCTCCCGTGTGCTTGACCAGACCTCTGTGCTCACTGGAGAGAGAAGCAACAGACAGGTTATGTGAGCATAGATTTTGATGTTGGCCAAGGAAACATTTAGGCTACTCCATTACTCGGTTTTGCTTTGAGCACTTGCAGTACACCTTAAAAAAAAAAAAAAAAAAGTATTTCCTGAAATGTATTTAAATAAAGTGCTTCTGAGTGAAGTAGAGAATGAGTTTTGTCTTCTGCAGATATTGCATTTTTGGTTTTATGAAAACAGCAAAAGGAAAGAATTACAGTTCAAGTAGAGTGTGCTCTGCCTGTAACACAGCACGTGTGCTCCCCTGCCGCAGCCCAGGCCAGAATTCTGGCCTCACTTATGGCATTAGCCATGTCCAGCAATGATAGAAAGTGGTGTTCTTACAACGCAGCCCTCTTGGAGCTGGGAAATGGCTTTCCCTACGTTTTTTTGCACAGCTGCTCAGCTCTAATACTCCTCCATGTAAAAGCTGGGAGCAGCGGAGATAAGTGCGTTCCGCACCGTACTGAAACATTTCATTTTGCGTTTAAATTGCAGGGGAACTTTACGATGAAGGAATCTTTGAGCTTCTCCCTCTCCCCCAGGGTGCATCCATAGCAACTCTGCAGAACGAACACGCCGAGTCAAAAGCTAAATGCGGAGGAAAACCCATTTCCTTCCAAATTTCCACTCTCCCGGGCAGTTAGTGATTACAGCCCGGCGATGATGTGCCGTGAACCGAAAGAGCACAGGAGGTGGGTGCGGATTTAGATGAGCCTCGGCTCCCGAGCGAGGGAATGCAATCCCCCAAGGCATTTGTGACCGAGTAGCTGTGAATGAGCCTAAAAAGCCACTTCGTGCGGGAGGACCCACCCCCTCCCCGGGCCCGTGTTCACTGCTGTGCAAGCGATGGGATCTGACCCGTCCCGTACTCACTAGGCGTCCAGCAGCAGCCGCGCCGCTTCCTCGCAGCTCAGCCGGTGCCGCTCCTGGAAGGCGGCCCAGCGCTCGCTCTGCGCCCCTAGATCGAACGTACCGGCGGGCAGCGCCTGCCCCCCGCCTCGGGAGCCGCCCGCTTTCTTCCCTCGCTCCCGGCGGTTTCTACCCGCGGGCGAAGCGCTGGCCGCGCTGCTCCGCCGGGAGCGCCGCGCGTTGCCCGCCGCAGCGCGCCCCATGTGCCGCTCCCCGTCCTGCTGCCCGCGGCCGCCAGGGGGCGCTGTCGCGGCGCGGGATAGGGGCGTCCCGGGAGGCCGTGCCGGGCTGTGCCCGCGGGGCGCTGCTGGCCGGGGCGGCTCCGCCTGCGGGTGCAACCGGGAATGGGAGCGAGGAGAATCCCGCCCCGCGCTGTCAGCTGGTTTGCTCCAGTGGAAAGCGAGCTTGTGCTGTGTTTCGTAGAGATTTGGTCGCAAAGACGAGGTTTCTGCTGAGAAAAATGGCCGAGGAATGGCCCGGCTGAGGGTTTGGGGCAGCAGGTGAACGTGAATTCATCACATTTATGGAATCTGAGCCCCAAGCCCGATGCCCGAGTGAGCATGGTGAGTTCAGATCTGTAGGTTGTGAGCTCAGGGTGCCAGCTGGCCTGTAACATACCCTACAGTGCTAGAAATACCAGTTATTTGCAAGCATTATCATAAGGTTTTCTCTTTAATTATAAACACAGGGTGCCACGGGGTGTCAAGGTTGTCAACTGCTTTGCAGACCTGAGTGTGTTGTGTGACATCTCAGCTATGTACCCTCCCTCCTTTAAAAACAAGGCTGCTGTTCAACAACGCTGCGGCGCATCATTATGCGCGTTTGGAAGCGTAGTGAGGCTCTGTCCTTCCTGACGTGTGAATCATGATGGCAGCTCTTCAGAGAAATGGGCTTTAATGTGATTCCTACTAGGCACTTTTTTTTCTACAAACTCTGTCACCAGAATCTTTAAGTTAAAAGGAAAACAAACAGCACAGCTCCTAAAACAAACACAACCTCTGACAGCACTCCTCTGTTGGTAAATAACCTAGAAAAAGATTATTTACAAACATCTGTAGGGCAAAGCTGTTTCC